GCCCCCCCCTCCATGTCCCCCCCCCCCGCGGCGTGCCGCACCTCCCCGCCGCCCGCACCCTATTTTTAAAACCGCTTCGTGCCTTATTTTAATCCCTCCTGGCTGTTAAGCCGCAGCCTCACGCAGCCCGGGTGCTACCAGTCGGGGCTGCGTGTATATACATATTAAAAAAAATAAAAATTGTTTATTTATTTATATATATGTGTGTGTGTATAAACGTCGGTCGTTCCGCCGCTGGCTGTGGAAGCGCTCCTCAGCGCGGTGCCGCTCGCGCAGCCCCTGCGCGCCCGCGGAGCGGAGCCCGGCGGAATGGTGCGGGGCGGCCCCCCCCACGGGTCCCGTCCCCGGCGGGTCCCCCCCAGCACTTGTGGGAAGCGGGGTCCCCGGGGAGGCGGCCGGGAGCCCTCAGGCTTCACCCCCCGCCCCAGCCGCCTCCCCGACCTGGGGCTTCATTTCAGATTCCTTTGAAAATCGAGAGGGCAAATTCCCCCGGCCGGCCTTTATTTCCCCCGCGCTCCCGCGTACCTGTCTCTGTGGCAACTATACATTCTCCGTACAAATGGAGAAAGTAGTCCAGGGAAATTACTTCCAAGCTTATTTACTAAAGCAGTTAAAAGTTCAGTAGCAATTTCCATTTCCTTTTCAATCTGTGAGTTGTTATTTCTGTTTGTTTCTTTTTCTTTATATAGGTATATATTTATCTAATTAATTCAATGTAATTACGTAATTATATTTATATTTTTATATGTTTACTTAGCCCAAGAGGTGAAAATGAAAGAGCAGACCCAGTATTCATACTGTTTTCACATCCTTTGTGTTTAAGAGTTGCCTCCTCTTGAATCTGTTAACTCACAACAATTTCTATAAACCAGAAAAATGCTCGTCTCTATTTTAAAGGTGGCAAAAGGACCAGAGCTGAGATCCACAAATGAAGAATTGAGTGTTCACGTTGCCCAGGCTCGAAGCCAGCACGATATTTCAGTTGCAGTCTGTAAATCATGCAGTCACTCGTCTACATTGTTTCTGGATTGGAGCTGGCACTTTGGAGCTGGTGGGAAGAACTCCTGGTTGTCTTCACCTATCCACCTACCTGTAGGTACGTAGGATTCAGGGTTTGGATGTAAGTCCGAAATAGCAATTTCTAAACTGATACTGCAGCCTGTAGACTCAGACAGTCTGAAGAGTACCTGTAGCACAGCTTTTGTAAGTCTCCATAGGATTTATGGTTTTGCCACGTCAAATGGCAACGCTTCAAATACTCGGCTATAACTGCTCATCTGAGCACCTCCGTTTTCCTACAGGAATGTAGAGGCACCAAGGGGCTCTGCTGCAAGGTGCTACGTGTAACGGCAGAGTCATGGGGACATGACACAGAGGGCCTGCTTCACAGAGGTTGTATCAAGATGAGATCCAGGGTGAAGTGGAGACACTTAGAGTGTAATTTAAGGCATCTCCTTACTCTTGGGGCCCCACACTGTTTAAGGGAACTCTGTTTAAGGGTACTGTTGTCTAGTATCAAGTATCCAGAGAAGGGCGACAAAGATGGTGAGGGGTCTGGAGAATAAGTCTTACGAGGAGAGGCTGAGGGAACTGGGGTTATTCAGCCTGGAGAAGAGGAGGCTGAGGGGAGACCTTATTGCTCTCTACAGCTACCTGAAAGGAGGGCGTAGAGAGGTGGGGTCGGTCTCTTTTCTCAAGTCACAGGCAACAGGATGAGAGGAAATGGCCTCAAGTTGCGCCAGGGGAGGTTCAGGCTGGATATTAGGAAAAAATTTTTCACTGAAAGGGTTATCAGGCATTGGAATGGGCTGCCCAGGGAGGGGGTTGAGGCACCATCCCTGGAGGGGTTCAAAAGACGGGTTGATGTAGTGCTGGGAGGTATGGTTTAGTGATGATGCTCCTTGTTTGTTGTGTGGGTGTCTATTTTTGTCAGTGAGGTTGACGGTTGGACAAGATGATCTTTAAGGTCCCTTCCAACCTAGAAGATTCTGTGATTCTGTGACATTAGTACAGTTATGAATGTGAATATTCAAAAGAACCCACATTCTGTTCCTTGATAGGACTCTGAAGATCAGCATGAGTTCATGCCTAAACTCTACTGAGATCCACAAACTAGATGTCAGTTGTACCCCAAAACACCTACAGCCTCGCAGCAGGCAATACAGTGATGGATTAATGCTCCAGCAACACCCCTTCAGAATAAAGATGAAAATGCCCCACCTGGCTTCTTCCCTACCTGAAGGTTCCAGCGTTCACCCGTGTCATCTCAGCTCAACAGAAAAGTGCTCGCATTCAATTCCCAGCTGTCCTTCCCCCAGAGGCCCACACACTGCCCACCAAGCCATGATCACAGAGCTGGGAAAGAGATGCTCCCAGTGATGGATGCACATGTTGGTCAGGGCTAAAGAAGGGGCAAATGATTGTGTAAACCCACCTGGGAAATGGTTTCACTAGGTGGGAATAAGCATGACCACTCTCCCTCACGTGTATTGTTTGAATATAATATACAGAAGACAAAAAAAGATCAAATAATGATAATGTAAAATAACAAATAGAAAACTATAGGGTTACACAGGAATATCACTTTCATATTTAGTATAATTTTCTGTAAGTCTACATTTCTGATGCTGCATCCATAATTTATAGAGCTCCTTAGGGCAATAATTATTGCTACTAATAATTCCAACAACAATAACACATGGCTGGCAATGCAACGGTGCAATGCATGGGTGGGTTGGCACCCCACCTAGTACCATAAGGTCTGGATTGTGACTGTTCCATCAGTACTAATACACTGTGACAATAACTGAAATGTGAAAAAGATGCTAGAGAAAATTCCGCTATGTTTTCCTACAGGAATATTTGAAGCATCAAATCTACTGTGCTGTTTACAACTGTGTAACAGGACGCTCTGCAATGTAAACCTTCAGCAAACGTCGCAAGCGAATGCCTGTGGAGCTCACCCAATTTCTGGGAGGAAGGAGAAGACAAGGGGTGTCTACACGCAGTTGCAGCACGGAGGAGGAATATCCAAGTTGGCTCCAAACAAGCTGATTGAGGTGTTGAGGAGCAGCCAGGGCTGGAAAATGGAGCTCAGCAAGGGCTACCTGTGTGGGGTTCGTGGGAAGACTCAGATTGCAACTCAAGTTCGGCCTGTGAGCTTTACAGGATTTACAAGCAAGCTTGGCCCAGGGCCCAGTTTTGAGAAAAGTTGGACTCCAGTAACAGTATTTCTTCAAAATTAAGTGAGGCTTGAAGCTGGGTTTTGAATTTTTGCCTTTTTTTGAGTCTGAAACTTAGGAAGCCAATGACATCCTGATGCATGTGGAAGAAAAGAATGCAGGAGTTAGTTACTCCAGGAGTGATGTGTTATTTACTCACCCTGCTCTTATTTCATCTAGTTATTTATGGCTTAAAAATGCATTTATGTACCATGTATTTAAAAAAGATGCAGAATATTGAGAAATCTCGACCTCATCCTACAAATGTGTGGATGTGAGTAATTGTGCTCAGATGCATTCCCACTAGCTTTGACAGGAAAGTGGGATTGACTTAAAAATAATGCTAGCAGAATTAAGTTTCCTGATATTTCTCCATCCTCCCATAATCCCGAAAAAAAAAAAGTATAAACATAGTTTCATCATGAAATTTTAAAAAGCCATTAAAATCTCTGAAGTGGTCAGTTCCTTTACATTTAATAATTATACTATTTTCTACAGAGTCACGTTTCAAACAATATTTTAAATTTGTGGTTTTTACTTCACAGTAATGTTGCACTGCAGAGTTTTTTATAATTTATCTGTGTTAAGGTTCCTAAAGATCTATTACAGCTGACAACTCCTCTGTTTTTAAGCACTGAAATATAGACTTGAATGACAAACCATGAAAATAAATCTTTCTTCACTCTTACTTCACCTTATTCTAAACATCTTGCCTGTCATATCTGACCGAGACCTTTCTGGGAAGGAGCTTTGAAAGTTTGCTTTGCATCTACTTGGTGGGCTTGGCAGTGTTGAGTTTATGGTTGGACTCGATGATCTTAAAGGTCTTCTCCAACTTAGATGATTCTATGATTCCATCCATGATTCTACTGAAATTACTGTGAATCTTTCAATTGGCCATGGTGGTCCATATGTCAGAAATAAAAATTCCTATTGCAAAAATATGAAATTTATTTTGCGTCAAAGGCTTCTTCTCAGTTCAATATATCAGTAGCAAGTATTAATTCAGGATTAAGCTTTTCTCTTGAATTTCAATTTCTGGATATGTTATTTATATTTTTGTAAATGATTTACCCTGACACAAAACCAGCATGGGAGACAAAAGAGTTGGGCCTTCTGTCTCTTATCCATTTAAAAAAAAAAAGAAAATATATATATATGATGTTTGAAACAGATTCAAAATTTTATTAATCTGTTTTTATGCTTGCTTACAAACTCATTCTTCAGTAATCAGCATTGTCATAAAACTTTTCAAAACCAGTAGCAGTTTAAGACTTAACATCTAGGGCAATTGTAGCACTTGTGTGAATAGGTAGCATGCAATGATCAAGTGTTTTAAGCATCTTTTTTGGGGGGGTTATATTCAATAAATCAGTAATGGCTGTTATTCTTGCTGACCCTAATCTGCAGTGTGCTGAGTACACTTCACCTTTCTGGTTGGGGTGACAAATACTTTGCTAGATGGAACCCCAGATGTCATTCAGTTCAGCCAAAATGTACTTGCTGAAGTACAGTAAAAAGGGTTTTTTTATATATCAAAACACCATTTTGTTCCAGGCATTTAGTATTTTCTTTCTGTTTGTGTGTTACACAGGGCAGGAAGGGGTAATCTCACTGAATAATTCTCATTCTGTTTGGTTGTGCTGGGGTGACTGGAGTGTACAGGGAGCCTGATCTCAATTTTTCATTTCAGGTGAAAAAAACCCACTTATTCAAGAGGACTAGATGGAAATGCAGGATCCAGCCCATTGCACATGAGCTGAATTGCTTTGCGTATTTGAATTGGATATTATTTTAAAATAATTGTGAGCTACATCCAGCAGCAAGGTAGTCAACAATGTTATGTTCTCACTCGTGGTTTTATTCACATTTGAGTAAGCATAATGAATCTAGTTGCAAAACTTTTCCTATCTGAAATAAATACGTGGGTATGGTTTTGTGGTTTTTTTTGGTTTTGGTTTGGTTTGTTTTTTTTCTTGTTATTGTCAGATTTGAGGACAATATTCATCCTAATTCTAGTGATGAGAGCAGGGATGTATGTATTGTCACACTGAAAGTTTTTTGTTTGGTTGTTTTTTTGGCGCTGCTGTTAAACCAACAATAATTTTAGGATAGTTTAATGTTGAAACTTGGAGCCCAGCATAATAAATATTCTCTCAGTGAAAACCAAGGAAAACTACCTTAAAGCAACATGCTAGGCATGTAAAAGTTCATCCATTTAAGGTGGAAGCGTAATGCAAAGTTTATTCAATTATCACTGATCCTGATAATCCTAATATGCAGGACACTAGCACTATATGGAGATAGTAGTTTAGTTGTGAAAGGCTCTGTGTTCCTATTATTATTATTATTATTATGCTTCTGTAAATGGAAGGAAAATGATTTCTTTTTTCAAGATTCACTGTATCGTATTTCACAGTGTAATGTAGAAGTGCTCATTGTAAATCTCATATTGGTGTTTTGACACTGTTCACGGAAAACCATAAAGGTCAGTAATCTTGCTGGAGGAAATCCTCAATTATAAATGTTAAACTGTGGTATATTCTGAGTTTGTAGAGAAATATAACTTCTAAGAACAATCTTACACAAATAACATGTATATTTTATATAAGGGTGTGATTAGGTGACACAATATTTTTGTACAACCTTGTCTATCTTCCACCCAGCCAGTAATCTGTTTTAACTTGGTTTATTCTTTTCTCTCCATTGACTTTAATCAGATACAGTTCTTGCTTGAAACTGAAAATATATATTTATTTCTTCTTTCACCTTGTAAATCAGACATTTTTCCCCAAATTTTGACCCTGTGAGATTCATCCATACACCAGTAGAAGCTTTTCTAAATGTAAGTGTGCTGCTCTCCTGAAGTCTGGTATCTTGCAACTTTATGGGACTAGGAAAAGGTACATCATTCCACTGGAAGGAGAGGACAGCTGCTCTTGGAGGTGACAATCAGAATAATCACAGCAAACTGATTCTGCCAAGTAGAGTGAAGCCATCTCAGTAGCTCATACCTGCTTAACCCACCTCACCTAATTAACCAGTGGTTATGAAAGCTACATTCAGAAGTTATTGCTGACGTTTTAATTAGCAATATTCCTGCAAAAGAATGGGTGCTCTCAAGCCATCCAGCCCCAGACTATTGAACTTTTGGAAGTTCAATAGGGTGAGCTGAAGCTTAGTAGGAAAGTTATATCTGACTCCCTTCTTTCGGGATCATAGTTGTTACTGACCTCATTCTGCACTTGGTAAGATACACATGGGCTTCCTACAAGGAAAAAAAAAGTGTCTTTTGTCCTATCCAACAGTAAGTATGGTGCTTTTGATTAAATGACTGCTGTTTAAGTGGCTTGTGCTCTGAGCTGAGAATGATAACCTGAGAGTGCGTGAGCATTGGTATCTTTGGATGAGGCACTGGGCCTGAATGGTATTTGTCAGACAATTGCCTCCAAGAACCTTTTACAGAGTAGTGTTTGCATTCAGTGCTGGATCACCAACCTCCTGATACTTTTAAGTTTAAAAGTAGAAAAATCTAGTGATCTCGGCTCCATTTGTAGGCAAGACATAGACCAATACCTCCACAGAATGATGCATCCCATCCTAAAATAGGTGATTGAGATGATATCAGTCTCTTATTTCATCTGCCTTACAAACTATTAGTGAACACAAAAATAACTTGGAATATGGGGTCAAGAAGTGGTGGGGAAAAAAAAAAGGCAGAATGAAAGATAATAGAGGAAAAGTAAGCGTTAAGAACAGAAAAGTACAAATCAAGAAGGAAGGGTTTGTGTGTTGAAATGAAGACAAACCAACGAAGATAAAATTCTAAAAAAGAAAGGAAAGAGTGAGGTGAAGAAAAGTAAAATGAAACAAGAAAAAAGGAAAATCAAGAGGAAAAAATTGATTAGGAAGATGAGTTAGTAAGGGGATGGAGAACCTAGTGCTGAAAAGGAAGAGATGCAGGCAAGTGAGAAGGATCACAAGGGAGAGGAAAGGGGAGGAGAACACGGACAGAGGTTTGATCACACTGATGTTCGCATGTCCATTTACTTTAATTTTAAAAGATGGCAAATGAGGAGTCATAACAGTAAAAAGAAGATGCATATTTAACATGTCTTTAACACTGCCGTGACTTTGCTTTGTGCCAGATCGGAAGACAAACAGCCCCATTATCAGGGATCGGGCTCAATCTAATATGCTTTGCCCCCAAGCAGAGATTATTAGCTCAGGTAATGGAAGCCACGGAGCTTCTGGTTGAGGAGCACAAGGCTCGCTGGCTGTGCTCAGGGTGAGGGCAGGACTCAGTCCTGTACCTCACCCTGACAACACCGCGTCTGCTACACATTTTACAGCTATTGTTAAAATGATTTAAGGTAAGCTTGAATCTTCTGTGTGCCCATAGCTACTAATGAGAGAAGCTGGTGGGATAGACGGTAGACTTGATGGGAAGTACCCTTAAGAAATAATAAAATAATAAATAAATATTTATAATATTCCTTCTCCGATAAAGCCTAAGGCCAGATAGGTTCTTTCATCTCTTTCACGATCTATTAAAAATCTTTAATGGGCAGTTCTTAAAAAATTCCAATTCAGCTTTTAAAGTGAGAAGTCAAAAGATAAAAGCAGATGTAGGTAAACTTGCACATCTGAACAACCCTAATCTCTAATTAAAATGAAGGAATGAACTTAGAAGTTTCATTTCAAGCTTCTGCTGTCATTTTAGCAGTGATTATTTTTATGTTGTTTGAAAGTGTGAAGTAAAATTTTTGCATGTTCCCATAGTATCTATATAGGCCCAATTCTTTCCAGAATCATACCCTATTGAACTATGTAACAAAGATGTCATTTATTAATATGAGCTAGTACCCCCTCTATTGTCCAAACTATTTCACAAGCCATAATTTATCAATACAGTAATGTTAAGCCCCCTTGATATAATCAGCTCTGCAGTCTGCAGTTCCAGGAAAAAAAAAAAGGGCAGCTCTGCACAATCCACTCCAAATTCTGGGATTAATTATGTTGTAGACTTCATATTGCACTTGCAGATGTTATTAATTACTACCACTCCCAGTTTAATAGCTGTTTCCATAGTAACTATGGTAATTTAAAGAAGGTGTGAAGGGAAGCAAGTTGAGTAGTTTGTTTTGTTTTGTTGTTTTGGGTTTTTTTTCTAACAGGAGGACAAAGGCAATCTGACTACATATATATATATATATAAAAAAAATATAAAAATCACCAAACCCTAAGCAGTGCAAAATAAACAAAACGTAATGACACATAGGAATGTGAACATTTTCAGAAGGGATTAAGGAATTTAAATAATCAAATACTTAAGTTAGCAATCTGCTCTCACTTGATCCTTTTAAAATTAATCCAATTTGCACTTTTTTGGTATAGTCTGGATTGTCCAGTGAAATCAGAGTGCATGCAGTGCAAGTGAAGGTGGAGCTATGTATGGCTCCAGCATCACGGATTTATTGGATATAAACACAATACCAGTGGCTGTGGTTTAGAATTAAAAAGTTTAAAATCATAGATCTCTATTACTTGAAGGAATGAAGTCTTATTAACAAATTTAATATCTAATGTCAATTTTAAATTAATCATGTGACTGTGTCTCCTCAAATGGAAATACAGCTTTTACATCCACTGCCAAGCACATTTACAGGAACAGGAACAAGAGCAAGGTGTTTCAGCAAACACACCAAGTACCTGTTATTATCTTTGAGTCATCTCTAAATTCTATCTTCAGACAACATTTGCTGTTAGTTAAGAAGTAGTCTGAAATGTCTAGGTAGAATGTCCTGGTAAAGGCAGATATGGATAGTTTAACATTTACTCTCCTCTCTTATCAGAAAATAAAGTGAAAATTAAAGCAATTTCTGATAAATTACAAATTATTGAAACTAGAAACTACTGTGGGGAAAAAAAAAGGGTGAGAATTTTTCTGATATTTCAAGATGGTAAATTGAAATAACAGCTAGAAATATTTCCTTTTCAAAGGAAATTTCGGATATTTCCTTGTATTTAGAACTGATGGTTTTTAAAAGTATATAAAATTAAAATTATAATTAATAGAGGAAACAGAGAAAATAGGAATATTGACAAAATCCATTTTTTCTTAAAAAAAAAGAAACG